TTTTTTTTCAATTTAGCCTTTCGTTTGTCTGGTTGTCCGTGTTCTGTCCATACATCACTTCGCTCCGTTGGTCCGTTGGTTGCATGATCTTACCAGCTCAGCTTCATCCGTATCTTCCCCGAGGCCCTGCATAAACTGCTGTAACGCAAGCAACGAATGAAGCTTAGCCATGTCTGTTGAGAGAGAAAAGCAATAGTTTACTTATTATCAAGAAAGAGTGACTGCGATAACTTCTTTACCTGTTTTTTCCCTACTGATCTAACCGATATTGAATATTTGATACCTTCCCCACCAATTGCAATAAGCGAGCAGTTAGGGCAACCGACAAAACCTGGAATTGGTTCGGACCAGATGTCTTCCCTGAGGAGTAGTAATACTCACAGCGACTTCATGCTACAGGGATTCTTTCTTGAGTATGATACTACAGAAGCAGTTTGGTCCGAATGTGGGTTAACCAGCATAACTAACCCTGCCATGGTCAAACACCCATGCAATTTTTAGGTCGACGAAATGAAGTATTATTGTTGACAAGAATAACACCGAAGAAGCAAACGGATGTCTGCCGACCATGCTTCCATAAATAGCAATTAATACATTTGACAGGAATTTGATCTCTGGTGGCATTTGTTGGAGGGAGGAGGCAACTTATTAAAATAAATGTCCCTTAGCTTCAGGGTTGTTGAGGGAGTGTCAATAGTATATCGCATTAGCATATCCTTGCAACTGTCACAAAAGTACCCGTCACGTCACTCACCATGCGCAAACTGAGCGATGAACCGTGACAGCAACACCTGTCTCTTAAAGAATGTGCTGAGCTCATCCATGTTTTGAACCATCACGTACATCCCTCCAGTTGTTTGTGCAATTCTCTCCAAAAGTTGCTTTCAGCGGCAAAAAATTTAAAAGGAATCAAATAAACCCTTTATCTATCCCTCGTTTTGCTTTCAAAAAAGTGTATTAAATATCAGTTAAATCAAAGCATGGCATTCTCATCTAGAGATTTAAGGGCCTTTTGCACCCTTCTGCGTATGTGTAACGATTTCTTGTCATAGTGATTTAAATCATTTTTGTTTTTGTTTTTGTTTTCTTGTTGAATGAAGATCGCAGAAAAATTTCTTATTCTCGCAGGAAAGTATCTGAAGTGGCTCGCTCTATACAGAGGGTCAAAGGAGGGACAGTGAGGTTTCCTGAGGCAAAAGTATATAAGTAGGCGAATTAATAGACGATTGCAAAATATCCTTGGCAGCGCTTGGAACTGGGGCGTGCTTGGTTAGTTTACGTTTCCCGTTTATTCTTCTGATATCTAAATATAACTATACTTATCCTAGTAGAAAGAGGATCTTTGCTGTACCAACAAAAGCATACACTGGCACCCTCAATTACAAGGAAACAACTATTTATCAATTGGCAAACCTAAGTGCCAAAATATAAGAAGTGCACTGGAGAACTTTCGCATTGTCCACTTCCTCCTTTGACGTAACAAACTAACGCGTTATACAGGTCTCAATTGACAACTTAGCTAATGCCAAACACGAAATAATCAATCATTTGACAAAGTACTTTGTGGACATTACCTTATCTGCACTTCCGCATCCAACACAAGCAATGGGGATTTTGTATGGAAGGCCTACCTCCTGCCAGCGAGGCCCGAACATCTCCGCAACCAACAAGACTCCAATAGAAGCCTGAAGACCAAATTGGATCGGGCTAAATGATTTCGTAACATAGGTCATGTTTCTGTAGACGTTTGTACTCAAGTTTCGATATTAATTTGAAATCACGCCTAGAAGGCCAGTTTTTCCGGCAATATTGGTCAATTTTACTTAAACACAATAAATGTTGACCAAACGTGAGGCCAATATGGCTGGATATTGGATCATTCAGCCATCTTGGCCGAACTCGCAGTAGTCAGTAGAAGACTTAAAATGTTATATTGCATAAAGCTCGCCATCTATCTTAGACAGCGTCCACACTACACTGGAGAAATGTGAAAGCACGCCTTATTTTCCACGGTTAGACCCACCCCCCGTCACGAAAACGGAGCTTTTCGAAAGCAAAGACGATAATCATGCGAATTCCCTGACCAAGTTTTCCACAAACGTAAATCGAAAATGACCGGTGATTGTTGTTTTTTAAATTCCTCCGGTGTGGTGTGGACGGAAAACATTTGACACGTTTTTAGAATGAAACCTCCTTTTTCAAATTCCTCTGGCGTAGTTTGAACTGGGTCCAACAGGACCCAGTAATTTAACTGAGTTGGAAAGCCTGCTCGTAAAGCCAAACAGAGTGCAGGATTTGTTTCGTCTTGCCCCCTTGGAGAGCTTCCCATTAATTATTTTAGATGTTCTTACTTGCTGTCCGTCTTGACAGTTTTCATCTGTAGGCTTCCCATCAGTCATCAGAATGATACGTGGGCAAAGCTTTCTTCCATTTACACTTACCACTCCTCCTGTAGTTAACATTAAAAGACAAAGGTATGTGGAGAAGTTTTTGTTGTATGAGCTTACATCAAGTATTGTCAAAGTTAGTTACGTGTGAGATGCATGTTGGTTATTAAAGATGTTGTCTTGAAGTAGCCACATGTTCACTGAAGACTACTTTAAACCAAAATAACTCGACATGGTGGCAAGTCCCAATAGCCTTTAAACTTAAGAAGAATCAGAAACAGCGGACATATGGGAGACCAAACCAGAACTTAAGCTGAACAACCACAAGAAGTTGAAGAGCACAACAAAGCTGGCGCTTACCGTTCACAACCACAAGTCGCCGCCCCTGTACAGCAGAGCATGGTTCAACAGATACCCATGGCGAGTTAGCAAGTTTCACCACCTGAAAAATTCAACTTCAAAAGCGAGGAATGGTCGCGCTGGATAAAGCTTTTCTAACGATTTCGAGAAGCGACTTGACTGAACCAAAAGGACGACGGCGTGAGCCATGTGAACACTTTGATTTATTCGACGAGCGAAGGAGCCGACAATATCGTAGTGTCATTCGGAATAACAACTGAAAAAGCGAAGCAGTATAGCGTGGTTAAAGGAAAGTTTAAAGCTCATTTCGTGGTGAAGAGAAACGGGATATTTGAGTGAGCGAAATTTATCCTAAGAAGTTAACAAGATGGTGAGTCGGTGGCTAATTTCATAACAGATTTGCATTGTCTTGCATGCTGATCTGCCAATTTGGAACACTAAGAGACGATCTCATCCAAGATGAAATCATGGTAGGGATGAGAGAAAAAAAGCTCTCTGAACAACTGCAACCGGGCTTTAGAAAAAGCAATTACAAAAACCAGGCAGTTGGAGACAGTTAATTAAGGAGCGGCAAACTGTCTTACAGGAAACAAACTCTGAGCCACCACCAGCTAATGTGGCCCGCGTTTATCCAACGGATTGGGAAAAGATTCCCAAGAAGACATGAATAATAAAAAGAAAACACTCAAGCCTAAAAATAAGAAGACACCTGAGCACAATGTTCAAGGTGCCTGGGTCAACTACAGCCAAAAGGACAATTTCCAGCTAGACAATTAAAATGTGATAAGTGCTCCAAAGTAGGACATTAGAAAAGGTCTGCAGATCTCAGTTAGACTAGAGAGTGGATGAAGTGAATTTTCCTGAGAGACAAGAATAAAGAAGAGCTCTTCCTGGGTGAACTCACTGAGCTAACTGCTGTTCAAGGAAGTACAGAAGATTCATTGAAAGCTTAAGTCTCCTTGAATGGATTGCTAGTAGAATTTAAATTGGGTACAGCGCAATTGCAACAGAAATTCAACCTAGCCTGTATCACAGTCTGAAAGCAGCTCCATCACTTAGCAGGCTTCTCATAGGTCCCTATAAACAGACACTGAGCTGTCTAGGAACTTGCGAGTGTAAGACAAGGTTGCTAAGGAACAAGAGTATGTAATGAAAGAGTTGGAGCGTCCTCTGCAAGGAAGAAAGCCAACTGAACTCCTATAGCTGATAAGCAGACTTGGCAGCCTGAGTAGTGATGCTACAAAAGTAAAGTAGCTGATAAGTACCAAGTTTATTTTGCAACGCACATTTGAGCTAGTCTGGCGCTTTTAGCGACTACGAAAGGCTACTACAGTTTATGCTATACAATATCTCGCCCATTTGAAGGCTGGTCAATGCCGTCCTAACTTATGTCCTAGTCTTGTTTTGGAGGAAAAGGGGATACCACAGCTTTTTTAAGTTGACCGGCGAAAATATTCCTCGATTGTGCTTTGATTTGATTGGCTGGCTTTGAAGATTTCCGTACCTTAGGAAGACAAGTATCTCCGTGGTACAAATGGAAAAAAAAAAAGTTAAATGTTAATTAAATGACTCACCATTTTTTCCAATCTCTTGCAATGCCATCAGCAAACCATTTTTCATTGGGGTCAATCCATTAGCCGTAAGTCCAGCTGAAACATATTCAGACCTAATTAAAATTACGGCAACGAAACTTAAAGGATTAAAGGCATGCCCAAAAAATATGACGGCATAGCTATTACAGCTACTATCTTGCATCCTCCATTTCATGCTGTTAATGAAAAGTTATAAAACCACCAAGAATGGCTCAGAAACAGTCAAAACTGACCAAGAAAACTGAAAAATTAAAAACGTTACTACATAAAGAAAAAGTTACCACATGCAAGAAAGCTAAAGAGCGTTAAGAAATACCAAAATTCGAAATTTGGAGAAAAGGCTTGTCAAAAAATGTGGTTGCTATTGATACATCAATATGATTGATCAGTAGCATGTCGTATATTAAAGGTAAAATCACAAAATTTGGAGTTCGCTTCTGTAATCCTTATTAAGTTATAACCATTCAAACTTGGCGAGGGCCTCATAAGCACCCCCGTCCCTTCCAGTCTGGGTTAATTATTAATGACGATAACTGTTTTACAATTAAACCACCACATCTGTACGCAGATAAGGTCTTAAAGGGTTCTTAAATATGACAGAAACTTAGTTGTTCTGATGTTCTGTAAATATCTGAATCTGAACTCTGTATCTAAGTTATTTCTTTAATAAAAGCTGGAATAGGGGACACATATGCATTAGCAACGTACCTATTTTTGCTTTAAGGCTAGAATAGTCCGTTGACAAGCTGTGTAAAACCTGTGTTTTGGCTCCAAACTCGACAATTGCAACGTTTTCCTAATTGTAAACGTAAAGGATTAAAATTACAACACAACACTAGCTGTAAACGTCACTAAAAGGATAACGAGCCTGGATGAAGGGCTAATGATCACTGGAAAGTACATTAGATCAGACAAATTGAACAAAATTTATTGCTTTCGTACGATGGACGGATAGATAAGAGGCAGGGCTGTCCATAATTAACGGCTGTCTTAGCTTAAACAATGCCCCCTTGAACGTAAAGACGAAAGAAAACATCTTCTGAGAAACTGAAACTGAGTATAAGATAACTGTTGACGTTTTTTAAAGCAAAATGGCTACCTGTACACTCACGGTACCATCACGGTACCGGGCAGGAGTCAAACCCCGGCCAAATTGGCGGGAGGAAAGCGCTCTCACCACTGCGCCACCCTTGTTCCCATTTATAGCAATCCCATAGCAAGTAAGCTTCTTAAACATTGAATTCTGAACAATTTATGAGTGAAAAATTCAAGATACTAGACTTTTTTAATTTTTTCAAACATTTGCCTGTATATATATTTTTTCCGCGAACTTGTTCCTGGCCTAAAAGTTCGCGAAGGGGTGGGTACACCCACCCCTTTGTACCCCAACGTGCCAAGAGACTGGGTACCACATGGAGCGCATAGTTAAGAAACACGCGGTCCTTATTTTAACAAAAACACTACCAACCATCAAGTAGTATGGATTCCATTACATTCAAAAGTAAAGAAGAATGCTTTGTCATAAATCATAAATTCCAATAAAGATTGATACCTCTCCTCATCGTTTTGCTTAATTCTATGATTTCTTTTCCTTTTCTTTTTTTTTTCCTTTTTTTTTTTTTTACACTGGACTTTCTTCCTTTACGTTTCAATGACTCAATTTTTATAGCTGATAATACAATTGTTAATAAAAACTTTAAACGTTTTAGCTCATTTGCTTGTAGAACAACGACGNTTTTTTTTTTTTTTTTTTTCGTGTTTGTTATTTCGTTTTTTAAAAGTTGTGTAGTAGCTCGGGCTCTCTTTCATCTCCGAGTGGTGGGGGACTCTTCGTGACACTTACATGAACTCTCGGAAATGACCACACGCGGGATATTAAACCGCTGACCAAAAATGATGGCGTCACAACTGACGAGAGAGAAAAAAGCTGACGCCATCAGATGACGCGAGACGAGCAAGAGGATGGGGGTATCCCCCTCTACTGACGTCATTGGCACGTGGCCAGCAGGGGAAGAGGGTACCTCCCTCCACTGACGTCCACGTTAAGGCCAAACACACGTCAACGCACACGTCCACGCACACGCAATGTTGTACAAAACCTACTTGTCTCCCTCGTGTCCCCTTTGCTAGACATACTAAGCTTCATTTTAAACTTTTGGGCGCGAACACTAGGCCTCGGCACATGTCCCGCTTTGTAACTAATTTTTTCACCACGTTAAAAATTGTTGAGAGTTGATTTCTTTCCTGTTATGGCGTGATTTTTATTAGCGTGACAGCGAGCGAAAGTAAAACGCTGACGCGAGATGAACACAGGCACGAATCGATTTTTGATCAAACTAATCGATATTTTAAGCTTCCGCCATCTTTTTCACGCGTGATCCGGCCACCAAACGCCTGAAAGTGGGACCTCGCACCAAACGTTACGGGCTGGTGTTTGACAAGCGCGTGGTAGACTCTCAGACCTTTCAGTCGTACCCGTACGGTTACACACAAGTTCAGCTCGACGATATCGACATGGAGAATGTCGAGGCTTTGATTGTTTTGTAAATAGCTTTCCCTCACCTACTTACGTCAACACAGACTCGTATCCTTCGACGTAAAACGCACACACTAATCATTTCTGTAAATGTTTTCATGGGCGCTGGTCACTAGGACTTCAGCACACGTCCCGAGTGTAAAAATTAGGATTTTTTTGAAAATACATTTTTTTTCCCCACATTTGCCTTTGTCTCCGTGTGATTTGTTATCATCTAGGGTTAATATTGTAATTTGCAGAGTTACGTGGTCTAAATACGGTCTTCTGATTGGTCCAAATGGTTGGCCGAGCAAGGGACTGAGTATCATTTCCTTATCCACTATCTTAATTGAAATCCTGCAATCTGATTGGTCTAGAGCGGTCACGTGGGCGAAATCTGGCCTTCTGATTGGTCCGGTCCCATACAAGTCACGTTTACTACTCCCGTCCTGGGCTTCCCGACCCCCTAGTGTTGCGCACAATGATGCAGGTAACATAAAAGGTCAAACACTCAAATTTAAAAACAATACTTTCTTTACCGAAGCTAAAACCCTGCGACTCTGTTTTGCACAATTGTGATTATTCAATGTCCAGTAACAACATGTCCTCTCAGAGGGCTTTTGTTTAATTTTTCATACCTTTGTCTGCATTTTTTTCCGCGAACTTGTACACGGCTTACAAGTGCGCGCCACTTCACGAAAAAAGAATCACATGAGGATAATTGAAACGTGACTGGCCCTTTTCTAGCACAGTTACGTCACTTAATGATTTGTAATTGCAATTTTTTTGTATTGTAACTTAACTTTGCACATATATGATTTGTCATCGGATTCCCATACAAACTCTGTACATTCTGACGCGCGATGGCTACCCGGCGTCCATTGCTTGCAAAACCGAGATCTATTCCCCCCATTCGCATTATGAACGCCCTCGCTTTAAAATTTATAATGGTCCTTACCTATGTTGATATACGTTTACTGACAGCTACCTATACGCATTTGTCATGGTCATGACTGAAATGAAATAATTACCCCTAAATCGGACATTTGACAACAACCAATGACTTGCGAATGCAGCCGTTATGTGATCAGTTCATGAATCAACTGTGATTAAATAGATAGACCTGATCTGTATTCATTTGTGAAAACAGAACAAAACCAAAACAACATCGAGACGAATGGCCCTGCTTGGGTAGAAAAACGCTATAATCTGGACCACAAAAATCTTCGCTTTTTGCAAAAGTTTCAGAACCATTTTTAGATTAATCAGTTCTTCGAGATTGAGATTAATTTTGTAAAAATACACGTTCGTAAAGGGAGAAAACGGATAGCCTTCGGTTTACGTAAGCTAAGAAACCTCGCTAAGTGCCTGATTTTGGGTAATTTAATCGCTGCAAAACCAAAATAAACATGTAACGCAGCGTGTACTTCGAAATTTTTGTTAAAAAAATGGAATTGTTAACAAACTGCAGAAGACCTAAGATCTCATGTCGTTTGCCATGACAGTTACAGTTATGTCTCTGTCTGCATAGTCATCTGCTTAATCGCTCGTCTCCTTATATTTTCTCGAATTTCTAATACTATGACGAATGCGATTGTCAAAAATTCAAAATTAATCGAATAATAAAGTTGAAGAATGAACTTGTTCATGAAAATATTTGAAGACGAATATCCGTGAGGGTCATGAGGGTTGACCGTAAAAAAGCACCTTAAATAGGACATTCTTGAAACTTAGCCGACTTGCAGTAAAGTTCTGTAATATTCCCTTACTTTCCAAGTTTTATATTCTAAGAAAAACCGTGATATAATCTCAAACACAACAGAAATGAACCATGGCTGCTTGGCTTCAGAATTTTATGCAAAAACCCAAATGCCGTGAGAGATTTCAGTGTATTCGAAGTGGATCTCATTTTTTTTTTTTTTTTCTACCCAATAGAGACCAGGTGACATCCAAATGACAGAGGCGGCGAATGAGGTCTATTAATCGTTCAATCTATTAATTAAACAACCGTTCGTCGAGACGAAAGAAAAGCTGTTCCGAGAAGCTGAAACCAGGTGAAAAGATCACTGCCATTGCGATTTTGTCGGCAATAAAAGTAACAAAGTCACATGTCCAATCGCGGTATGATCGATAACACAAACTCTGACTGCACTTAGCTCGCTGATAATACACATGAAAAAGCGCAGACACACGCAAAGCATCGGAATCATCGACATATTAAACACTCTCTGTCTACCCGGCTGACTGGAAACAGAAATATGTTTGTATTTGGAGAGGAATCCCTATTTCGTGATCGTATCACATATCACAAAGTCTTCTTTAAAGAGGATCAGAAGCAACGTTTAGCTGCAGTTGTTGCCAATCACGTATCACGAACTGCTTGCTCTGATCCTCATTTTGCGCGTGCGCCTTAATAGCCACTTATTCAGTCACGATTACTGAAACAATATATCGGCGTGTCAAGAAAGCCGTTAAAACCCCAGAACTTCTTCTTGAATTAGCAAATAATTATAGCTTGTCTGGATGTTGCACGCAAAACGTTCATCATCCACACTGAACTTTCGATACTCTGAAGTATTGAATAATTTCTTGGTTCTTAGAATTGCTCAATAAAATATTTATAAAAGAAACACTCGGAATGCAAGTTTAATTTATCTTATTTGGGTTATCATTCACCTTCACTGGTGTCCTCATTCTCCAATAAGTGTAATTTCATTGTTTTAAACTTAACCAAGACAAGCTTTACGACAATGAGCTTGTAAAACGTACTTTTCCGTAAAAATATCCACTGTAAAATTTTATTCTGTCCCAGAAGCTAAAATGACCGAAGGTGCAACCAGTGAATTTATCAGGTGTTGAATTGGAATTCAGCAATACAAACAAAACTATATGGTATATAATATTTATGATTCTACAATTACATGCAAAGCGTTCTTCTTCAAAACCGTACACGACTTAATCGATACTCCTATTGGCCGATTAGCAGATTTCTCTGTCAGATGTAGTTCTTTAGGATTAAAGCATCATCACAAATTAATGCTTCACACTTCGATTCTACCTTTAAGTTGGCTTGTCTTGCAGTCTCCTCTACTCCCTCCAGGAATTTGAGTGCGGCAGCTTTGAGCTGGTTGATACCCTCATTGTTATTCGTGCCCATGGAACCCGAGGTATCGAGGCATAACACTGTGTCTAAAGGCATCTTGTAGTTAGCAGAAACCCGTTTGCTTGCTGAGGACGAGAAGAAAACAAAAGCATTGCATAAACGTCTACAGATGCAGCTTTATCATTTTAATTTACTTTATATAACGAACAGGCGCATTCCGAATCAAGTTGACCTCGTATTTCTGACTTCAAACGGCAAATATATTTATCATTCGCCCTACGTTTACCATAATCTTGAAACTCTTATCTGCTAGCACTCTGCTAATATCTCTAAGGATAAATGTCACTCTAATGAACAATTTGATACTACTACGACATGCGAAAGTGAGTGTCTGCATCCATGCATGCATGCATAACATAACAACTGTGAACTGACTAGAGTCCTTTGAGCTCAGCAACGTTTTAACACTCCTAAATGAAGGAATTTAACAACGCGCGATTACTTTGAGCAGCCTTGAGAATATCAAGCTAGTTACTGATCGCTAAGCTTCGCGCACTGTGTCTCTACATATATAACTCTCCCTAAATCATGTAAACAAGGAAACATCCGAAAACCTGCCATGGCGTTGCGCCCAGATCGGTTTCTCCTTGATCATATGTTACTTATAAAGTAGAAAAATGGAAAAATGTGATTGAAATATAATATCAAGGCATTTTCGTACCCCAAAATGAAGTTTCTAACGAGTAATGGTCTCGGCTTGTCACTACGCAGCAAAATTGCTCGATTCGTCTTGATTGTCTTCCAGAACTGTGATTAACATCACCAACGCCCACTGAAAACATTTAATTTCAGGTTAAGTCTGTTTCACCTATCCTGCCGGCGCGAAATGATTTTTGGGAAATGAAAAAAAAATTCAATACTTTTGAAAATTTCTCTAGAATTCGCAGAAATCTTTGGGTACAGTCATGGTTCCTCGAAAAATCCCATGAATTTTTTGAGTTCATTTCAACGTAAAATAACCCTTTTCAAATTAAAATTCCTTACATTTGGCGGAAATATTCCTGGGACCTAGACATTTTTCCCGGGAATATTCTAACGTCCGTTCACGTTGCAAATTACCAGCAATTCACAGAATTTCTTAATGACATACTGCAAGATAAAATATTTTTAAATATCACTTAATTCAGGAAATTCTCGGGAAATAGCGATATTGGAAAAAAGTAACTGTTCTACGGTCTTTCAATTACTCCCTCTCACCAGTCCCTCTCGGGTTTCTTCTTGATACGCATATATGATTAGTTCCGGAATAGTTTCATTTCGCTCCCACCAAGGAAAAAAGGAGCTGCATTTTTCGATTCGGTAGCGGATGTTACGGGGGGGCTTTTTCCTGCTTCATATTTTATTAATTATCTTTCCTTCTTCATTTGTACACCGCTTCAGTTCTTGTAACTGCATCTCCTGATTCCATGATGTACAAAAGCAAACGGAAATACCCAGTTACTAACTACAGCCGTACTTTGGTTCAGCTGCTTTAAACTGAGTAATTCTTTAACAGTCGTGAGCAGGTGGGCTGATTTCCTATTGGCTTTTAATTATTCTTTAAGTGGATGGTCCTTCGTTTACTTTTATCCTATTGCATATTGTTATTTTAAATGAAAAAAAGTTAATATATCCGCTTTGTTTTTTAGTTTTCGCGTGAATTTGTAATGTACGTTTTGGCCTACACCCTTGGGAAATTTTACAGCAAGTAGGACAGATTGGGAGTAAATTTTGAGCTTTCTAGCTTTCTTCAAGCTTTCAAGTGTTGCAGTATCCAGGCAGGCTCGTGTAGTTTTTTCTTGCGATAATTCAGGTAAGAGTAGCCTAAAAATCAAAATACGGTTATAATTAAAGTACGATTAAAATGCTCCAGAATATGTAGAAAAGTCGAAAAACACCACAAAGACAATGCATGGTGTAAAATGCAAACACGATGTATCTTTGTTATCACTTCGATATCAATTTTAGCTTTACAGCCATTTTGACCAAGCGGTCAGATTTGGAGCTTACGCCCCTGTTGCAGCCCTCATCATTATATTTGTGTGTTTTCCTTCACAGCTTAACAGTGAGAAAAGTCTAATTTTCGCCCGTATGATCAAGGGATCTAAATCTTTTGACGGGCATGACGTTATTAACAAAATACGTCTTAGCTGGTCTTTATGTGTCAGCTTATTAACCTCTGGAGATCAGTGATATCATGACACCAATCTACTACTACTACTACTACTACCACCACCACCACCACCACCACCACCGNCTAGACATTTTTCCCGGGAATATTCTAACGTCCGTTCACGTTGCAAATTACCAGCAATTCACAGAATTTCTTAATGACATACTGCAAGATAAAATATTTTTAAATATCACTTAATTCAGCACAGCAAAAAAGGCCTTTTTTGGATTGAGTGAAACACACTCATTTTTCTGAGTAAAAGGGTTATTTTACTAGAAATAATGAGTGAAGTTACTCACGATTTGAGTACTATTTAATGCACAAAATAGTGAGTAGAACACACTCTTTATTTTGAGTAAAAGATATGAAGAGTATTTTTACTCAAAAGGTTGAGTGCACACAACTCACATACGAGTAATGGATAGCAACAATTAAGTTTAGTCAAAGCGGTGGAGTGGAGTAAGCCGTCTTCTTGGCCTAAGTCCTGAACCAGTGCCCCTTCTTCTGGAGTTAGGCCGAGGAAGTGGCTGACACTTTCCACTATCAAAACCGCGGAATTGCTTTGTTGATGAGGACCAACAGTCACAATCTTATTTATTGCATGCACACAGTAATAATTTTTGTACCTATATACCAATATCAGGACTGGTATAAGCAGATGTATTCAAACCTCCGTTATCCCGTGTGTATAAGAAATGCACTTTCAGAGAAGTGGACATGGTTTATTCAGTCTCTATAGCTGTATAGTGTAATCAAAGCTATTAAAAGGGCTCACTCTAACAACATTCTAAGTGACAAAGTGGGAGGTGCAGTGTGGCCTAATGGCTATTGCAATAAAATCCTGATCAAGCAGTCTGTAATCAAGCCCTCTTGGGGCACTGCGTAGTGTTATTGGGCAAGACATTTTACTCTCACACTGCCTTTCGTCCCCCGGATGTATAAATCGGTATCAATGAATTTACTGCTGGACAGGTTGGGGATGGGGGTGTAACCCTGCAAAGGACAGCAGGCCTTCAAGGGGTATTAAAAACATTTCTTAGTGTCAATTATAAATTACCAGTGGAACATCACATCAAGATTTTGTTGTTTAATACAGTACTACAAAGTTTTCCTTTACGCTTAAGCAATAACTGTGTTTAATAGATAATAACAACTAACTTATATTTCTTGAAACAATCACTTTAATTTAGCACAATAAAGGAGGCATTCTAATAGAGAGTGACACTTGAAATGTTGACCTAATGGTTAGCAGAGAAGATCATCCTTAGAAACATTTGAAAAAGAAAACTTGTAAGTGTTATTTTCTACTTCTTTCACTAATTGCATGTTTTTAAATGCATTATTGCAAGCAGTCGACTCTATATTTTAGGGCAATAAAGTCATTACTGGCATAGCGTCCAAAACCCTTGCACTTCCCAAGAGGATGAAAATCAACAAGCTCTGCTTGCTTCACATACGACACCTCATTTCTTGACACAACTTTGAAGGCATTCAAATGAGTGATGTATTCAAGGACTCTTAAAGTTGTATATTGCAAAATTACTTTATGTCCATCTAAAATTATAACTTCCTTTACTTCTCCAAAAATTGGAATGCCACACCAAATGCGAACAATAATAACAAAGCCCCTGCAATATTTAGTATCATATACTTTGACCCACGTGGTTCTGCCAAAAATAAAAGAAATACAAATAGTGTAAATTATTAACAAACATACTTAATATATGTATGCTAATTGCACCAGGAGCAGGCCACATAAATGAAATAATAACATAAATGACCTCTCAACTCTCAACTCTCAACTGTATAAAAAGCTACATAAAGGCCCCTCCTCCTTAGGCTTCCTTAAGTCCCCACCTCCCCCTTCATGGCAATTTCTGAGCAACTAGATACAAGGTAACTTTACTCTTCACAGCTATCAATTTAGTCGCCATATTAAGTTTAATTATTGCCATTTTGACAAAATTTGTTGATGGTACTAACAAACAAAAAAAAAAACTCCTTTTGTTTGATACGCATTCTAACTGCTGATGTAATTTGAAATGACTCCACTTCAAAATGTCTTAAGACAGTGGCAAACGAGGTCACACTGTAGTAGACACATTGTTGCTCATGTTTCTTTAATTAATGATGCTGCGCAAAGAGTTTGTAGCCTTATCATGCCATGCAATTCTGAGCATAATGCAGAAGTAAGAGTAGTACTACAATACAATTGTATGAACCTGAGTTATACTCTTCACAGTCATGCATACATGCTCATATTTGTTGAAAAACCAAATTACTGTATGAACAATTAGAATTGTTGAAAAAATGAAAGATTTGAATGCAGCCATAACACTGCTAAAAAACTGACCTGAAAAAATTTTCAAGCTCTGAACAGGATTGGAAATTTTTTCAGGTCATTTTTCCAGTAGTGTTATGGCTGCATTTGCATCTTTCATTCTTTCATTATTTAATTGCTACTGTTGGACATCTATTACTATGGAATTGGAATTGTTGCTCATACCTTGTTAGTGTGTCATCGCCAGATATTTCTGGATACATCTCTTGCAAAGGCTCCAAAAAGCCACTTTCAAGAACAGTTGTTTTTCTCCCTGTATTAAAGACCATGTTCAATATAAATCATCATAATTCAAACATGGTTAATAATCAAGTCTCTTCTGGGAATAAATGGGCAAAAGAAAATTAAAATATTTCTATTTTTCAACAAGAAAGTTTCAGACATGTTAGAAATTTTATAGATCAAATGTGGGCTATGGATATGAATAGGGACAAGTGAGTATTCAATATAATGCCTCTCAATATCTACCTGGAAGATGTCATCGTAAAATGATATTTTTTCCCAAAGAATTTACATGTAGGTTCAAATGCATAGATGAAAATAAAAAGAGTTGCTTTTTTAAGTTCTGCAGTACCTGGTCCAACTTCCAGTGACATTCGTAAGAAATTTCCCGCAGAAGACTGGAGCAAATATGCCTGGAGTGCTTGATGGCGCCTTGCCAAAGAATAACTGATATTTTTAAAGTTATTAATTCTCTCCACCAGCCTTTTAAAGTAATTGTGCTTTGCCTCAAATCGCATGGCCCAATTCCTCACCAATGGTCCTCTTCTGCAAATTAAAATAAATTATTGTTCATTAGCAACCACTTACATGTGTTGTAATTGCTATGAATTCGTTATGATAATTATTTTGTGTAGACATATATCACAAAACTATGTTTTCATTCCTAAGGACAATGCAACTTTCTAACTTACCAGTAATCTTAACATAACCTTTTATGAAATACATGTTATTTTCTCAATATTACTCTCATTGAGACCAGCTGAATTTTGAACCAAAAACTACTTTTATCCCTACACTGTATGACTTAACTGTATATTTCTATAAAACAATTGACCTAATAATCCTAATTTGAACTATCTTAATTTATTGCTAATTAGTAACAAAATATTTCACTTGGTTTTTCCTGCATCAATTGTTAATCTGTATATTCTTACCTCACAATTTGCCTTGGATAGTGGACCATATAGTGCTGCTTTGGGATCAGTCTTCTTTCATGAAGTTCACTGAATTCAGCGAGGTACTCTTCAGTAAGAACTGCAAGATATGCTGCTAACTGAACACTTGTTCTTGGAGCAAACACAATCTCTTCCACTTTAAGTAACCTGAGAAAGTTTTCCCAGTGTTTATCATCAACAGGAATGAGGTCCCCAATAAGGAGAGGAAGCATTCGTGCCAAGCACCACATCTGCGAGGCTAATGAAAACAAGCACAAGACAGATACTTACTAAATTATTTTCTCATGGGTTTGAGCAGTGAGATTCCCTCACTTTTTATGTATTTTGATGTTGTTAATTAATAATCAAAGTTTATTAAAACACTCACTATGAAAAGTAATGCCATAGACAAAATCACACAAACATTGTATGTACACATGTAAGACCTTTCACATGTATTGCCTAGTTCCAGAAAATATCCCAACTCCTCCCTCCCCACACAGTAGGGATTTGATATTCCTGGGGATGGGTGGGTGGTTCTCGAAGGCCAAAAATTTTGGAAAATGTATGAAGCTTAATTGGAATTATTCCAGAGGGATGGGGGTCTTAAGAAAAATCCCTTCTATGGGGGAGGTATGGATAATTTATGGAACTTATATACACATTAATTTTGTGTAACAAATTGATGTCAGTTTTTCATGCGTCTGTCCTGCTATTGATCATGAATTTCATCATAACTTAGTCAAAGTACATGTGGATCCACATGGCAATAAGCAAAGTGGATCCGCAGACTACTTTGACAATGTTATGATGAAATTCACTGTAAATAACAGGACAGACACATTAAAAACTGACATCAATTTGTTTTTTACGATAACAAATTGTAAAATTGTCCGCTCTCGCCTATTGACACATCGCATAAATTATACATTCATGTGTCTGTCCGCTTATTGACAATAAAAAATAGCCAATGAGCATGTGAGAATTTCAGCAGTTATCGTAAAAATAATAATTGATCAAATAAATTCCAAAAGTTATTTTTTGTTTCTTTGTCAGTCTGAATCAGAAGAGAAACCTTAAAAGATAAAAAGTGCAACAAAATTGGCAAGGTAGCCTTAAACATACCTGACTGATTTAAACTGGTAGAATCAGAAGATAAGGCCTGCTGCTTTATAGCACTTGGCTTATTGCATGCATCAACCACAGGATAACTGAAAGCAGCCATTCTTCTGTTGAGGATGTCAAGTGTGAAGTACTTTTCCACTGAAATGAACTTTTGCAGCAGCAACTTAATCTCAAGGGGCAGCACCCCTTCAAGTTGGTCATGCATGACATCAAGGTCAAGTCCATCTACCACATGGAAAAAACGGGACCGATTAAGGAGGGACATCTTTTTTACTCCATATGTTGTAGATAAAGTTTTATCATTTTCTACCAGCTGGCAGTGTCTGTTGTGGCCTGCTCTTGTTCGCAGTTGATACTGGTTCTCAGTGAACTGTATTGAACATAAGTGTATAATTAGGTGTAAGTATATATTATACAATTTAATTTAAACTTATCCTACAATTTCACCTTATCATACGTTATTAATTATTCATAATTTGCAACACAACAAAAATACCCTTTGCATGGGTTTATAGTGAATTGACAGAAATGAACATCATTTTGAAAGAGGCATTAGCTACAAATTATCCTGGAATTGATGGCAAGTATAATGTTGTAATATAATAGATACCTTTGTTTGAATATCATTGTTTGTACCCATACAGACTCTGCAAACTCTAAAGGCATTAAAACCTTCTATAAATCCACCAATACAATGTGCCCCAAGGTTGTCGGAAGCAAAGGGTCCAATGCTTCCCCTAAAGATGTTATCTTGCCCATCTATTTTGATCTTTACACCAATTTCCTGCAGAACAGATGATACTTTAATAATATACATGTGTGTAAAACCTTACCTATGCAGCTGCATGCATATGAATCATGACATATTAAGTCATAGCTACTTAAACATATATTTTAAATAAATGGTTTCATTTAACAGGTAGTGAAAAGCTAAAACTTCCACAGTGACTACAAATCAACTGCTAATGGCCAAGCTACCCTCAAGCTATAACCATCAAATTATACTGCTCTAATTGCCAGAGAGTATGATATGACCTTTCACATGACTCAAAGGTAGTCAGAGGGCCACTAACTAAAGTTAACAACTCAGATTGCTCCTTTTTCAAAAAAATATTTTTAAGTATCACATTAGGTATTGCCCTGATTGAATCTGATTAAACCACTGTGATGGCTTTTGGAATTTTGAAATGCTACTCACAGATTCAAGAAGACTTATATCCCGCATAAATGGTTGAAGTATTTTGTTCATTCCATAAGTGTTTATGTAAGGAACTGGACAAAGTGCCACCAGCTGTATCATGTTTATTACTGAGCGGAACTGTGGACGAAGATTTCCAAGGTTGAAGTAGAATGCCCCTACAAAATCAACAACAGTATAACTGATAGTGGATAAAATATAAAAAAAAACAGCAAAAATTTATATGTAGATACTCTCTTAGGTATGTTTGTTTATTTACAACATCGGGTATTTTTGATAACTGAAATGACTTTNTGAAATAATAACATAAATGACCTCTCAACTCTCAACTAAAAACTGTATAAAAAGCTACATAAAGGCCCCTCCTCTTTAGGCTTCCTTAAGTCCCCTTCCCGCACCTCCCCCTTCATGGCAATTTCTGAGCAACTAGATACAAGGTAACTTTACCCTTCACAGTTATCAATTTAGTCGCCATATTAAGTTTAATTATTGCCATTTTGACAAAATATGTTGATGGTACTAACAAAAAATAAACTCCCTTTGTTTTATACGCATCATAACTGCTGATGTAATTTGAAATGACTCCACTTCAAAATGTCTTAAGGCAGTGGCAAACGAGGTCACACTGTAGTAGACACATTGTTGCTCATGTTTCTTTAATTAGTAATGCTGCGCAAGGAGTTTGTAGCCTTATCATGCCATGCAGTTCTGAGCTCACTAAATAAAATATTGATAAGCTTATTTTCATAATGCAGAAGTAAGAGTATTACTACAATACATGTATGAACCTGAGTTATACTCTTCACAGTCATGCATACATGTTCATATTTGTTGAACAAGCAAATTACTGTATGAACAATTAGAATTGTTGAAACAATGAAAGATGCGAATGTAGCTATAACACTACTGGAAAACTGACCTGAAAAAATTTTCAGGCTCTGAACAGGATTGGCAATTTTTTCAGGTCATTTTTCCAGTAGTGTTATGGCTGCATTTGCATCTTTCATTCTTTCATTATTTAATTGCTACTGTTGGACATCTATTACTATGGAACTAGAATTGTTGCTCATACCTTGTTAGTGTGTCATTGCCAGATATTTCTGGATACATCTCTTCCAAAGGCTCCAAAAAGCCACCTTCAAGAACAGTTGTTTTTCTCCCTGTATTAAAGTCCATGTTCAATATAAATCATCATAATTCAAATATGGTTAATAATCAAGTCTCTTGTGGGAATAAATGGGCAAAATAATATTAAAATATTTCTATTTTTCAACAAGAAAGTTTCAGACATGTTAGAAATGTTATAGATCAAATGTGGGCTATGGATATGAAGTAGGGACATGTGAGTATTCAATGTAATGTCGCTCAATAGGTACCTGGAAGATGTTATCGTAAAATGATATATTTTCCCAAAGAATTTACATGTAGGTTCAAATGCATCGATGAAAATAAAGAGTTGCTTTTTAAGTTTTGCAGTACCTGGTCCAACTTCCAGTGACATTCGTAATAAATTTCCCGTAGAAGACTGGAGCAAATATGCCTGGAGTGCTTGATGGCGCCTTGCCATAGATTAACTAATATTTTTTAAGTTATTTATTCTCTCCACTAGCCTTTCAAAGTAATTGTGCTTTGCCTCAAATCGCATGGCCCAATTCCTCACTAATGGTCCTCTTCTGCAAATTAAAATATTGTTCAAGCAGCCACTTATTTGTGTTGTAATTGTTATTAATTCGTTATGATAATTATTTTGTGTAGACATATATCACGAAACTATGTTTCCATTCCTAAGGACAATGCAACTTTCTAACTTACCAGTAACCTTAACATAACCTTTTATGAAATACATGTTATTTTTATCAATATTACTCTCATTGAGACCAGCTGAATTTTAAACCAAAAGCTACTTTTATTCCTACACTGTATGACGTAACTGTATATTTCAACAATCGACCTAATAATCCTAATTTGAACTATCTTAATTTATTGCTAATTAGTTACAAAATATTTCACTTGTTTTTTTCTGCATCAATTGTTAATCTGTATATTCTTACCTCCCAATTTGCCTTGGATAGTGGACCATATAGTGCTGCTTTGGGATCATTCTTCTTTCATGAAGTTCACTGAATTCAGCGAGGTAATCTTCAGTAAGAACTGCAAGATATGCTGCTAACTAACACTTGTTCTTGGAGCAAAAACAATCTCTTCCACTTTAAGTAACCTGAGAAAGTTTTCCCAGTGTTTATCATCAGCAGGAATAAGGTCCCCAGTAAGGAGAGGAAGCATTCGTGCCAAGCACCACATCTGCGAGGCTAATTAAAACAAGCACAAGAGGGATACTTACTAAATTATTTTCTCATGGGTTTGCGCAGTGAGATTCCCTCACTTTTTATGTATTTTGATGTCGTCAATTAACAATCAAAGTTTGTTCAAACACTCACTATGAAAATTAATGCCACAGACAAAATCACACAGACATTGTATGTACACATGTAAGACCTTTCACATGTATTGCCTCTTTCCAGAAAATATCCAAAATCCTCCCTCACCACACAGTCGGGATTTGATATTCCTAGGGATGGGTGGGTGGTTCTTGAAGGCCAAAAATTTTAGAAAATGTATGATGCTCAATTGGGATTATTCCAGAGGGGTGGGGGTCTTAAGAAAAATCCCTTCCATGGGGGAGGTATGGATAATTTATGGAACTACACATTTGTTTAACAAATTGATGTCAGTTTTCCATGCGTCTGTCCTGCTATTGATCATGAATTTCATCATAACATAGTCAAAGTAGCTGTGGATCCACGAGGCGATAGCAAAGTGGATCCGCAGACTACTTTGACAATGTTATGACGAAATTCCTTGTCAATAACAGGTCAGACGCATTAAAAACTGACATCAATTTGTTTTTTACAATAAAAAATTGTCAAATTGTCCGCTCTCCCCCATTGAAACATCGCACAAATTATAAATTCATGTGTCTGTCCGCTTATTGACAATAAAAAATAGCCAATGAGCATGCGAGAATTTCTGCAGTTATCGTAAAAATAATAATTGATCAAATAAATTCTAAAAGCTATTTTTTTGTTTCTTTGTCAGTCTGATTCAGAAGAGAAACCTTAAAAGAAAACAAGTGCAACAAAATTGGCAAGGTAGCCTTAAACATACCTGACTGACTTAAACTGGGAGAATCAGAAGATAAGGCCTGCTGCGTTATAGCACTTGGCTTATTGCATGCATCAACTATAGGATAACTGAAAGCAGCCATTCTTCTGTTGAGGATGTCAAGTGTGAAGTACTTTTCCACTGAAATAAACTTTTGCAGCAACAACTTAATCTCAAGGGGCAGCACCCCTTCAAGTTGGTCGTGCATGACATCAAGGTCAAGTCTACCACATGGAAAAAACGGGACCGATAAAGAAGGGACAACTTTTT